CCTAAAGAAGGTTTATGTTTAACTTGAGTTTAAGAATCAATGAATATTTCCTATTTTCCATAACATCGCATGAAAAACTGTTTACCAACTTAGCTTATACTACCATGTTTTTATTCATAATTTTCAGTGTAGAAGCTTATCTAAACACCCAAGCACTTTCTAACCGTCCATGTGACATCAGCTGTTCAGCATTTGCTCATAAAACTTGACCATACATAGTCTTCTCGGAATTAGTCAACAATAGCAGCAAATCTGTCACATAATGAAACAAGTGTTCTTGTATACTCACATCGGCTGCAACCACATGTACGAAGCTTTCCTTGTATTTGCAAAAAAAACACCACCAAACCCGCAAAATAAAACACATTATCTGCCTTCTCTGGAAAGAACAAGTTGTACGATGAATGCTTTTACAACGTATCAGATCCAGGAGCATGTAATTTCATCTGATCCTACACAAATCTTCATACAGACAGACCCTTATGCTTACAGTTACTGACCCCAGGACAAGCGTAAGAGCCTGTATTTATGAAATCACATGCAAAATCCGTACCTCTTATTCTGACTTTCCTTTAGGTCCTTACCACTCAATACTGCAGCTTAACACATGAATTTACTCTTACCCCTTACATTCTAGATCAAAGCAAACACAAATGCTTATAGGATCAAGACACAGGACTATAAGACTTCATTTCTTCCCATCAGCTTCATACAGCACGCATCACGAGTGCTTGTCCTTAACTTCGGTTTTCAAGGCAATTATGCAACACTTACTAGCAACAATCATTAGCTTATAATTTAAGAATAAGCATTTATTTCAGAGCTACTGTAATTCTAATCTAACAGTCTCATATCTACGCTAACATATTTATAATTCACTTCTGACAGCTTTAGTGTTTTCTTTATCACACTTTCACACCTATGCTTTTACACCATAGTCATGACTGCAATTCCTGCTCATCATGAGCTTTTCATTTGCATTAGACCTGGCACATAGCAGTTTTACTTTCAAAGCAAGCTGCATCTCCCAAGCCTCATATGTTTACAGAAAACACAAGCAGGTGGGCAGAGCAACTTTGAAGTTCATGCCTATTGTTGCAAACAAGCCCAATACCCTGATTCATAATGAACTTTAACCAACGGCCTGAGAAACCAGCATCTAAAGGCTCCAGTCTCCCTCTGCCTATGGAAGCAAAAACTGTTTTAGAGAAAGTTTGTTTTCAAGCTCACCAGCCTTGACAGTGTTTCATACCTCTTATCCCACAGGTTATTTAGGATTCTTTTTTCTTCCTATTCATCTTGACGACAAACTAGTGTTGGCGTCTGTGTTCAGTTATTCTTTCTTAGCACTTGCATGTTAGTCTGACTCTCCCCATGAGAAACTGGATACTAAACTGAGTGTTTTTACACTACCACTGTTTTGATTAGTATTTGTGCTTTCACAACTCTTAAAAAAATTACAGCTACACATGAGAGCATAAGCTCTCCTTGGAAAAATATTCTCTGACTTAAGGGTGGAAACAGATTCAAGATGTGTCAAGAATAGCATTCATGTGTTTTAGGGGTACCAAAACTAAATAACCTATGCACCTGTTTTAAATGTAGTTACATTCAAAAATGTCTGCAAAATCTCAGTATTATTCAAGAAGCAGAATCCCGGCACACTAACACAGCAGTAGAGAAGGATGAAGCAGTTTCACTTTTCATTGAATGTAAAGGTGAGCTCAGCATGAAATCAGTAGCCACAGGTGGCAGCTTCAAGTCTGATTTTGATGGGAAGAGTAACTGATCTCTACACAAAATCCACCAAAATAAGTACTTCACTATTAAAAAAACCAAAACATTTCACTCAAAACTGGAAACTGAATATATAGTGAAATTTAAGTCTTGCAGTAAGTTGTAGCAGTGACAGCACTCTTAAAGAGCCCAACATAATACATTTCTAAATGATAAGTGTCATGAAATTCACTTGAAAGAAAAGAGTAGACTGCCATGAATGGACAAGTTATTATGGAGCCAAGATTTCCATGCTCAGGGTATACTTATTCCTTAGAATAACAAATCAAGCCATTTTCAGACATATCAGCTTTTTAACAGCGAAGAACATTTCATATCGATTCTAAATTTAAACTTAACCTATGTTATTCAAAACAGGCTCTCAGACTACATTGTTTATTCTTCCCCTTCTAACTTTAGCAACTATAACTGCCTTAATATTGAAGCGTTGCATTCCTAATAACCTAATACACAAGGATATTAAGTACTAGTCATATTTTTGAATTTCCATTCTCATGAAGTGTAGTGAGCTCTTAGTAGAGACCAGGTATAGGCTCTAGCATGCTACATGATTGTTCTTGTAACAGGCAGCCACAATACAGCTGATACTCCCCCCAAAAGTTTAGACTACATAGTCTGATTGGTGCTGCCAAAGCCAATGTGACAAAGACAATCAGACTATGTGACAATTTATGTCACAAGACAAAAATTGAACTCCACTCCTTTATAGCAGGACAGAGCTGCATCACACTTTCAAGGCAAAACAGTGTTTTTCACTGCATAAAAGAGATCACGTTGAACTTCAGACTTAGTTGTGCCAGCTAGCACCCAAGCTCTCCGTTGCAACCACCTTCACCCCTGCTTTTTAATCAGGGATAATTTTACTGTTGAAGGCATTCAAAGGTTTAATTTACAAGTCTCTATTCATACTCATAGCTAATCTGGCAGTTCTAGTGGAAGCATCATTTGTGCTATTCAGACTAAAAGGTAACACCACATTTGCCCAAGGAGTAAATAGGAAGGAATAATCCTACTATCACTCAATTTGATTTTTTGTAAGTTGCACATAACACAGTTAACTTTCCAACACTTTTTATATTTAGATAATACTGCTGGGATCAGCAGCTCCCACGCTACATGCCCAAGCCAAAGGTTGCATTTGGGTGGCAGTTCAAAATACTCACTCCTTTGAAGTAATTTATGCACCCAAACCAAAGTATGTCTCTTCCACATGACGCAGTATGGATTCACTTTGCCCTCTGTAAAAAACACAGCACCTGGTCCGAACCAATATATTACACCTCAAATAATTTGCAGTGCTCTGTTTCCCCACAGGCTCAGAGCATGAGTAGAGCAACCCCTTGTCAACCAACACCACATGACATGGATTTGCCTGTCAGTAGTACACAAACAGTTGGTCCCAGCAGCATCTATTAGAGGTTTTGCCAGGTAAACCCTCTTCCACAGGGGAATAGTTTTGTTGGAGGGACAGATGTTCAGGGTGGTTAGTCATTGTTCAAGGGTTTTGTTCAGCAGCTGCCTTCAATGCACATCTTAAGAGGTTCTATAGTGAAGAACTATGTTTTAGAAGAGCTCAGGCATTTCCTTCCTTTCCTTAAATTACTACTGGATAATATGCTCCGGTAATAGCAGCAGTACAGATGGGGTAAGCTTACCATAATCTCCCGTTAGCAGACACCTTGTCAACATTATTTAAGCCATTCCTTGGAATGTTACAAACTGAAAACAATATTTCTTCCCATAAAGGCTTTCTTTGTCTCTGCTGTATTTCAGCCCAGAATTATACTACACAATATCTTAAATTAAAGCAGATAGAGTTCAAAGTTAGTCCAGTTCAATAGGCTAATAAACAAAGAGGTCATTGGACTGCTACTTTCATAGCCTGCATAACTTTAGAGTTAGCACACAAGAGAGGAGGAAAAGGAAGAAGTCAGTTTTAGCCAAAACCAGCCGAAGATCAATAAACATTTTTACCTCCTCCTTCCTTCTGTGATTGCTTCCTACCATCCTCTCCCACTCACCTAGCACTAACATCCTCTGGGGTTGTGTTTGCTTTCTTTACAGAGTACTCCACATAGTAAAGCATCAGGTTTAGAGCTGCAGTTGGTTAGACTCTGATCTTGTCCATCACAAAATACTACAGCTATTCCATCACCTCCAGCAACGGACTGAAGTCTATTAAATAAAAACGCTACTATGTTTAAGAGAGAACAGAAGCTTAGTAGTCCACTAAAGAAGATCTAAGTTGATAAGATTAAAGACATTGCCTCAGTTGAAAGGTAAGCTTCTAGCCAACATCTGTTGCTCTGTGGCAATGCCACATATGCATAAACCCCCCGGTTCACAAACTGCTTTTTAGCTTACAGCTCATGTTGAACAAGATGTACCAAAACCAGCCACAGTAATAACATATTTCAGGATCCTGTTGGTATACTCAAATGTATCAAAAATATCCAAAGATTGACAAGACAAAATACAGAAGTTTAAGTGAAGCATCACCATGTGCAAAACTTATAACTCATATTGGCAGTAATTTTAAAGGGTTACTCTTGTAATAGCCATGACATCCAACATCAGTACTACACTTAGATCAGTGCATCATACTGAATTACTCAGTTGGTGGATTTATCCACTAGATACAGTCAGAACTCAGATGTCTCTTTTAACACATGGTTCAGGCAACAGATATGAACTGATGTCTCCAAGTATTTAGGAAAGAAGCTCCAGAATAATACATCACCTATTTCTTACGTGTGAAGTCCATGCACGGAGATTTCTCTTGTCTTTGCTGGTTGTCAGCAAAAAGATATCATGAACAATATCTATTTTCAGGATCGACACCAGCCTTAAGGATTCATATCAGCTAGCAAAACTGACTTCAGCTGTTACTCACGTCTGTGCTTTTTTGTGGACTATCCAAGCCTACCACACATTCTTAAACACAGGCTGTTTTTATTAAAAATGCATATACACATGCAGTAAATTTATTTCCTTTTAAAATCATTATATCACTTTCCTATAAAGTAAATACAGTTAAACAAAACAAACAATATAAGATTGGTTAAAAACAGACATCCTGCAGCTCAAATAAATACTAAGAAAAGATGGCTTTATAGTTCAACTGCCTGAAAGAGCCACATGCTTTCAAGTTGCAGAAAGTGTACTGAAAAGCAATTCTATGCTATTTCTGTATGCTGACCTACCAGAGTGTGATGAGTCCCATCCACACTAGTGCCAGACTTCTGCGTTTTCAGTACATCGCCATAATCTGCTGCATCAAAGTTAGTCTTCCACACCATCACCTGCAGAAGAAAGTTATCTCTATTAAAGTTTTCCGTCTACGTTTACTTAAAGGTCAATTTTGTGAACACATCAGAAAAGAGTCAGCAGGTGCACACCAAAGCTTACCATCGATTAAATTAAGGATGTTATTTGTTAATATGCTACTGAATACAGACATAGCATAACTACGTTCTCAATGGGTAAGTGACCTCTTCCAACATTCTTTGGGTCAGGAACATCATGAAACTAGAGCCAGAGAACTTCAAAGCAACATTCAGAATACACCATCAAAACCACAAGATATATTAAAATACCATGCTTAGCATTATAGCACTTATCAGCCACACCCCAAACAACTAGTCACTGGTTTATCGTGAGATTCATTCACAGGAAAAGAAGAGAGTTAGTACTTTGAGACTAGCATTAGGGATCTTGAGCTAGTTCATCAGCTAAACACTAAAATTAAATCCCACTTATAGGCATCTTCTCTCCATAATGCAGTATTTACTTTGGAAGAGAGGCCTCTAACACATAAAGCACTTGAACATATCAAGAGCAAATCTATGAAGTAAAATCCTTAGCAGTGGCTCTAAAAGTCTAAAAAAGTTTAAGAGCAATCAGTCAACTATTTCAGAAGTCTGAAAGACACCTATGAAACCAGGCAGCTCATCTTGGTTATCAGAAACATCAGTGTTTATCCTTCACTTACAAGTTTTCATCCCTGCTTCATGTGAAATAAAAGCATTTTTCTTTTGTAGTTGCATAGTTAACCAACAAGGCCATTCCATTGTGTAACAGAAAAAAGTGATGCTCTTTTACTGTATAGATTGTCCCTTCACAGCTAGCAAAGGTGCTATTACAACAAAGATGGGCATTGCCACTTAGTCTAACCTGGGGACTAAGAGCAATGCCACACAGCTCAGTGAAGACCGATGACAGAAAAATGGATACTTAGACCACTACTTTGGGTTGAAGTCCATCCATATCTTCAGCAGGGCAACTCATACTAACTATGTTAAAACCAGCATATATTTGCAGCACAGGGTGCAAATGGCACCTCCTGATTCCAGCGGGCTCATACAACAGGCCTGTTTGCAGTTCAGTAATTAATTTTTTTTTTTTTAGACAGACTACATGCCTAAGTTACCCCACAAAAAAAAGGTTTCGACCTGTAGAGATGTTCTTGATTATTATTTCTCATACTTCTCTTGGATTCAGAAAGCTACTATTCAGCGAGGTCCATTCCACTGAAAAAGCTTCTTGTATATACACAACTGGCAATTTAAGACTAACGCTGTTTTCAATACTTATATTGTATGTTAAAGTTCTTCCTCCATGCACAGAAGGAAGAACAGCCTGCATTTTCAGACACAAACTTAAGAGAAGAGAGGCAGTTCCTTCATGGGAGCTAAGAAAAGGAAAGCCAACAGACACCCTTCCCAATACACGCGTTCAGAAACACAAAGCCTTGAACTACAATGGAAAAGGCTGCCAAAGAAGTCAGTTACGACCCCATGCCATAAATGTACCTTTACAAAGCACCTTTCTGGGGAGGCATTCATTGCCATTCAGTGTTTCAGTTTAACAATAGCAGGTGATACTTTGCAATGAGCATTACTTTAAAGAAATCCCAACCACAGGAGAGACAAAGAGGGAGCCAATAAAACAAGCCTTTTGAGGGAATCTACCTTACACAACAGAGAAATGTAGGCTAATACAGCCTCTTAAGCTAAAAATGAAATAAATAAAAAGTCAGCTTCTTGGCTATGCCTAGAAATTGAATACAAATAAAATTTCTGAAGTTTTCTGTTGAAAAATAAGTAAATGAATTACTGTATGACTGCAACTTCCAGCTACATCAGGGCTTTTAAGGAAGAGAGAAACAACAGCAAAGAGGTATATTTATTTGTTGTGCTAAATAAGCATTTCAAGAGCAAACCTTAATATAGTGACCCCAATATAATTTTTCCTAAGATGCATCTCTTCAAAACAGTCTGTTTAAAGGCTTAAATAAAAAGTGGTCTTAAGAGACAGGATGACAAGCTATGCCATCTATCTCTAATCTATAAAATAGAGTTAAAATGCAGCGGCTCCTGAAACTGTCATGAGCTACTGGTTTCCTCCTTGATAGCATACAACTGAAAACACACATTACGTAAGAGAACCCAAGCAAGTCATTTCAGCACAGTCCAGACATACTGGGTACATTTTTGCTTTCCCCCACTGACAACAGAAATCAAAACCCAGCAGCTCTTAAGAAATGTGAATCTGGATTATAACTCAGAACCAGAAGAAAGATCTCCCCTACTGCCCCAACTGCTTCATCCACAGAAACCCTTTACCAGCAGTACGAGACACCGAGGCTTTTAACCCTAGTGTACATATCAAGGTCAGCAGAGAAAAGTCCAACTCTGACCCAAACAGCTGTGCAACCACAGCATTAGCACAGCTTTGCACCAGGCTCCCATTAATAAAGAGATCTGTAGCCTATATTCGTGTCCAATCAGACTCAAAACCATCTGGCCTCAGTCACTGGAGATGGCTTAGCTACAGCGTCTCAAATAAGACTGAGAGGACAGATCTGTGGCAGGAGGAAAGCATTGAGGAGTATGAAATACAGCGTGTTGTAGACCAGTGGGGCCTGGAAGAGTATTCAAGGGAAGCATCCCTGCCTGCTTACTTGTCCTTACGCTTCTGTCTCAGAACTAGCCAGTGGCAGATCAGGAGACGATCCATCAGCGTAGCCCCATGATATTCAAGGTACCTCAACACAGCCATTCATACACCCATTTAACTTATTCCCCAGCAGATGCCTCAGAAAGGCATATATCAAGGGCTGTATACAGGATAATATTTCCTCTGTTGTACATACCCATTCCCAGATACTCCAGCTGAAGTGCTTCCTCACTAAGAAAAGTTTATGTTTAATATATCTCACTATTTTTAATGTTTTCTCTTTGAAAGCAGGAAGATGCCTCAAAAACAGTAACAAGGCACAAAACTATCAAATTAAACCAGTCACATACCTGTTCATCAGAACCTCCAGAGGCAAAAAAGTCTCCAGTTCTTGAAAAGGCTACACAGGTGGCTGGTCCCTGCAAATAGATTTAAAAGATAGGTTTAAAAAAACGTGAAAGAAAACAAAGTGTTATAAAGCTCTATTCATTACAGCTTTACAAGGTATTACCCATTTGACAGCAGCAATCTAAAGGCAAAATTTAAAAAGCTCTTATCTGTCAGGTAAGTGGGCCACAACTAACATGCTAAGCTCACTGGCACTTACTTACCACTGCCCACATTTTTGCCCCCAGTTCAAGAATTTTTCTTCTTTCACTTTTCAATATCTATGGCATTAAGACAGACAGGAACAAACCAAGTTTTACAGCTTCAAGCTTTTACTTCTTCCCCCTCAATCATTCTCACTTCCCTTTAGAATTAGAAATACCTAAAACTCCTGTTCATCTATTAAAAGCAGTGACACTGTTGAGTTTTGTTAAATGCAGCCTTCAGTTAGCCACTTGATGGAAAGGTTTGAAGGGGGAAAAGAGATTTAAACACAGATACACACAGAGCAGCAAAGGGCATATTGAGAAAGACTGTTACAAGTAAAATACCCTCACACCTGACAATTCTAGGCATTCATGAATCATAAGCCGTGTCCTATAAAAATATAAGTTTTTTTAAAACAAATTTGAGGAGTAATGAATCCACCTTTCAAGCTCCAACTGCCAAGCCTTCAGAATTTACATTTTTCAAGCTCCTCCTCACACCATGAAAACTAGAACCACGAAAGGAAAGTGCACTCAGCCAAGATTTTCACATAATTATGAAAGTCCAGGGGCCAGAACTTCAAACATTACCCAGAATCTTCAAGACATTTACACCACAAGACAACGTATTTCATGGACCACTGTGTGCACCAGATTCTCCATAGAAAATAGTATCTTCTCTCCACATGCTTTCCCAACAGCCTTTCTTTGACCATACACAGCTGTCACTAAGGGACAGCATAAAACACATGACTGAGGATGAAAATAGCCAACAGGCAGGGCTACAGGCAAGATGTGAAAGAATCAGTTCCACCATGAAGGAAAAGGTTGTGGGTTTGCTTTTTTTTTTATACAGTCATCACACGCTCTCCTATATATTTCTAGGATATTCCAGACAAACTGCTCACTGCAAAAGACCCAAGGCTTAAAGCTCTTGCCCACTCCACCACAACATAACTTCAAAACATGCCTGACCAGCTATCAGCCAAAGCAATCAATTCATATCAATTAATTCGGCCAAGGTTAGAAGCATTTTAAGTCAAGGAATCTGTACAAGCAGAATAACTGAACGCACAAGATTCAGTATTCAGAGCAGAATGCAATTACTCATTTTATTTCAGACTTGGCACTCAAGAAGTCCACAAAATACAAGACCACTGTTTCCAGAACAGGAAGAAGAAAAAGCCAAGGCTACCTGAGGAGCACTGGAAAGAAGAGCAGGTCACTGAATGGCAGACAGAGCAGCATCTGCAGAATATACTGTATTTGTATATTAGCTTCTACTTAGATAGTACTACAGAATACAGCAGAGTTTTGCAGGAGGCACTTATTCTCTTTGGATACCAACTAGCAGGACAAAGTCAACACGGGGGACATTCAAAGCCATCAAAACCAAAACAGAATCACTGCTTCATATCCCCTTATGCATGGAGCATGCGGCCAAGCAATGATAGAGGCTTCAAACCAAACAGGCACCTGCAGCAGCACAGAAGAATGCAAGCAGCAAGCAGGCACTCCTTACACCGCTATCGTTCGCCATGTTTAAGCTACAGGCTAACGATCTATGCAGGTTTGTGTTAGTTGTCAGGTTTAACTGAAGAATGGAAGGCTGGCTTGAAACTGCTTTTCTCTTAGTAGTTTCACAGAAGAGATGCCAGAGTTAATGCATTTTCAGGATCATCTTTGTATAGCACAGGCACTTGCATTTTGAAGAAGCCTTGCTCTTAAAACAGTCAGTTCTGAGAGTTTTTAAATGGTGCTGACTGCTACAGTACTGCTTGAGTAAAAGTACGCATTTCACACCACGCATCTATTTTAATACGTTCTCAACCTTCCAGAAAGCACGCAGGAGGACGCACATAGGAAGGATGAGGCAGGTGCTCTGAGATGCAGTTAAACAGAGCTGGGAAATTGTTACGAGTGTTTGAGCACAGGCAAACTGTTCTGCTTAGAATAAACAGCTGAGGACCCAGATAGTGAAGTTATGTCAGCTACTGAACATGTTACTTTGCAGACTGTCCTAAGCCTGAGCTTTCGCCCAAGCTGAAATGGGCAGAGGCAGGAATAAGCACTTCCAGGGGCTGCCTACAGCCAAGTTTGCTGGGAAAGCAAGCTGAACTTGTGACAGGCTGAAACATTAAAAAAAAAACCCAAAAAACAACCAGAAAAGCCACAACACAACCACCAGAAAACCCCACCACACAAACACACCTCCTGACAGAAGTAGAGTGATCCTCTTTCAAGTAAGATCATGTATCTCAGAAGGCAAGTAAGAAGCTTCTCCTCACCCTGTATCAAGTTGCAAGGACAGCCTATTCTATTAAGAGTTCACATCTTCCCAATGGGCATCACATAGAAATCTCACATCTAGTTTGTTTCTGGTTTCCCTTCTTTCTCTCCTACTTTGTAAAAGTGAACTTGTCATTATAAATCCTGAAGGTAGACAAATACCCAAAGATTGCATTTGGGATAAACACTCAACTCGCACTGCCGCCTGTGTCCCACAGTCCTGCGTGCTTTCAAATATGCTGGCACAAGGTTATGCCAGCAAAACTAGAGTCTTGATGTGGTCACTCCCAGTGTGAAGTGTTTTACCTTAATGTGTTTTAAAAGAAGCTATTTCCATATTATCATTTCACCTGCAGTGATTTCAAAAGGTTTTGAAGCCTTCTAATAGCAACATCTCACTCGAGAGATCTTGCCAGAATTGATCTAGTAGCAGCAATTTCAAGATGTATGCACAGTCATAACGTGACTAATCAACTAACACAGCATTAAATAGTGCAGATATTTCAAACCAAAGACACCCCCATCAATCAGCTGAAACAAAATATGCCTCTGCTTTCTAGTCCCACCCACCTTCCCCAGCAGTTCAGCTCTCTGACCACACTGTCAGGAATGGAGAATCTCTAAAAAAAACAAAAAACAAAAGCAAAAGATAAATAAGCAATAAGGAAGGACAGAAACAAGTACATAGCCAGAAAAGTGCAGTGGTGAACATTGCTCAAAGATAACAGAGCTGAGGATACAGAAGCTGCACTCTGACTGCAATAAACCAGTGAGGTTGGGAGGGCGAAAAAACACATTCAACACATTGCTTAAAACAAAATGTTCAGGAACAAGCACAAGTGAGGAATACTAGAGAGGAGCAACATTCCACAAAATTATTTTTCAGTCTAAGTATTTCAGTGTATTCAGACAAAATTTAGCACAATACAAATCACATCAAAACAGGCAATGAACTGACTCCAAAGTCATGGCATTCAGAAAGGAAAAAAAGAGTTCGACAGAACATATTCCTCCCAAAATAGAAACTGATATCAAAGACTGAATGTCCCTTTATAAATTGAAAGAAGGGGAACAAACAAGTCTATAGACACAACATCCTCTACAGATTTGTTGACATAAATTAAGTGAAAAGTGTTTTTGCTACATACACTTACAGCACTCTTCCCAGATATAACAGGTTTGCTATAGCAACATACAAATAATAGTTTGCCAAATACTCTCACAATTTAATATAAACACACAAAGCAAAAGTAAAAAGCTACACATGACAGTGATTAGACACAGCCTAACTCCCATTTGTTCCAGGTAAGCATGGCAGAGATCCAACAGGCTTCTGATGCAGTCCTGGACAACAGGTACATGGTTGGAGACTGAAGAATTCAAAACTGCCTTCAGATTTTTCTTCCCTTTAAACTTACTGTTTGCATCAAAAGTGTCAGAAAGCAGCAGTTGCATATTCTTCTATACAAGTTGTAGGGAGAATTTTAAGCTTATTTCCCATGCAACTAGAAAATGTGTGATACAGTAACCTTCTAAAGGACCGCTTTATTCCTCTTTCTTTAGCAAGATACAAATGCCCTTCTATTAGTATTTCCTGAGGGTTCAGAAGTTCCAGTTCTGCATCCTGATTGTGCTAGATGCTGCACACAAGCTGCTAGCACCAGTCCCCAAATTCCTACAGCTTCTTACCTTAGAGTAAACACCAAGCTGCAGAAAAAAGGATTGGACAATGAGATACACCAAGTCAGCAGTAAGGAACATTTCTATTTAGTCCTTAGCAGGCCAACAACATGAGGACTGTCGAGCTTTTGTGCATGTCAAAGTTTGAAATTATAATAATAGTTTTGGTAATACTGGGAGAGCGCTGCAGAAAGTTTGAGAGAAAGTACAGAAGAGAGCAAAATGTCATCCACTGGAAGTGTTGAGTGGGAAGAATATTGCCACTAATCAATATTCAGCTCATCTCTAGTGAAAGAGGAGTACCAGGCAGGGTGGAGATAAGCCCCAGGGAGCCTTGAAAAGGACAAATTGTTTGCACACTGGATGCGGCAAAGAAACTGGAAACAAAAAAAGGAAGCCAATGGAAGGAATGATAACAGAATCAAGCCTAGTCCTTTGCAGCAGTGTTCCCAATGAACAAGATTTGGGCAAGGTCAGTTAGCCATGCCATGGTAGCTGAAACTCCAGGTGACATCCCACTTCTAGCTGCATACGTAGGCAAGAAGGGTGAAGCACAGCACGTTACACAATCTAATTTATGTGCAGACTACCCCCCAGAGATAGAGATTATACCTTCTCCTTGTTTTCCCACTTCCTCCAGAAGGAGGCTAGTGATCACAAGGCCTTTATTGCCCTAGCAATTGACAGGTTGATCAGCTTACACAAAACACTAAGTGTGGCCTTAGAAAAAGACATTCAGAACTATCCTGAATGGCTTGAATGCATTCATCATCTAGAGAGATGGCATCCGAAGCCAGGACACAGATTACAACACTGAATGAGTGACTGGCAGGATGCTATTAGCATCAGTAACAATT